TGTGTGGGTCTTGCCTCTAGCCTCCTTGCAGGGAGTTCTGCTGAAGGGTTCCCTTCTGGGCCTGAAGCCTGGGTCAAAAGAGGATCCCTGGGCCCGGGAAGTCTCACTCACTCGCCAGGCCTGCGCTCCAGGTCTGTTCAGGATCCCGCGGCCTGGGTCGTCTCACTCACTCGCCGGGCCTGCGCTCTGGGTCTTCTTGGGTGGTATTCTTAGCTGTGCAGAAGATCTTTAACTTGATGTGATGTCACTTGTTGCTATTGTTTCTGGGCATTATTTTTGCTCAACTGGGTAGCATTCAGAAAGTCTTTTCTGCACCTGTGCTTTTAAGATTGTTACTATTTTGTCTCTAGTAGATTAAGTATTCCTGTCTTAGTATTAACCTCTTAGATCCATTTTGATTTCTAGCTTAGTACATAGTTAGAAATATGAGTCTAGATTCGATCAATCTTTGCCACGTTGATAGCTAGTTTTTCCAGCAACACTTATTAAAGAGGCTATATTCACCAGAGAAGGGAGTTGACCCCTTTGTTAAAGGTAAAGTAGAAAACAGAACGTCTTTTTTTAAGCAATGCCATGCTGTTTTGTCACTATAGTTGTGTAATACAGCTTGAAGTCCAAGATTGTCATGTTCCCTTCTTTGCTGTTGTCTAGAATTGCTTTTGCTAATCTAGTTCTCTTCTGGTTCCATATGAGTTCTATAATTGCATTATTTAGTTCTGTGAAGAATGCTATTGGTACTTTGGGATTGTTTTAAAACTAACAGTTTTGGAAATTCAGCCATTTAACTCTATTACTTTTGCCTCCTTCTCAACAGGGGATAGCTTTATATTGTCTGTTATATTCTTTGATCTCTTGTTTCACAGTACTATAGTTTCACTGTAGAAGTCTTTACTTCCTCAGTTAATGTAATTTTTAAGTACTTAATTTTTCTTCATGTTATTAGGAAATACTTTGTTTTTGGTGAGTCTGACATTAGTGTACACGAATGCTATTGAATTTTGAATGCTGACTTTGCATCCTGCTAAACTACTGGATTTGGTTATTGATTCTGAGAGTCTTTGGGGAAGTCTTTAAGATCTCCTGGGGCTGGAGAGATAGTTCAGTAGAATAAGCACCTGCTTGGCAAGTGCAGGGTCCTCAGTTCAATCCCCAGTACCACAAAAAAATGAATAAATAAAAGACCTGTGTAGAGGAAGGATCATGTCATCTCCAAATTATGATAACTTAAATTCCTTTTCTATCCATATAACTTTTTCTTCCTCTTTTCTAATTGCTCAGGCTTATGTTTTAACAACTATATTGAACAGATGTGGTGATAATGAATATCCTTGTCTTTTTCCAGATTCTGGAAACAAACCTTTTAGTATCTCCCCATTTATTATGCTGTTGGCCACTGGCATGTAATAGATGCCTTTCATAAGACTGAGGTACAGACCTTCTATACCTGGGGTTTTTATCATGAACATATGTTGAATTTAGTCAAATACTTTTCCTATATCTATTGAGATGATGATGTGGATTTTGTCCTTGCTTCTGTTAAGAGGACATATAATATTTATTGGTTTATATACATTGAGCCGTCCCTATATTCCTGGAATGAATTCTCCCTGGTCATAGTGTCTAATCTTTATGATGATTTCCTGCGTTCGTTTGGCTGAATCTTGTTGAGGATTTTTGCATCTATTTTCAGTAAGGACATCAGCTTATAGTTCTCTTTTTTGTTTGGGTTGTTTTCTGATTTTGGAATCAGGGTAGTGCTTGTTTCCAGGAATAAATTTGGAAATCCCACTTTCTTTTCAACTTATTAAAGAGTTTGAGAAATCTCTTTTCCCGAAAGTCCTTGTGGAATTCAGTATTGATTTTTTGGGGGCCTGGGCTTTCTTAGTGGGTAGTTTATTACTTTCTCAGATTCACTGACTGACATTAGATTATTTACGATTTTCATATTTTTTAGTTTAGCTGTTAATGCATCTGCATCTTAGAATAATTATATTTCTTCTGAATTTTCCATTTTTTATGGTACAGTTTCTCAAAGTATTTACCAATAATCTTCTGAATTTAAGTAGTATCTGTTGTGTATTCACCACTTTTATCTATAATTGCATGGATTTGGATGTTTTCTTTCCTTCTTTTGGTGAGATTGGTTAAAAGTTTGTGTGTTGTGTTTAATATTTCAAATAAACTCTTTGATTCATTTTTTAATCTCCATTAATTTTTGCTTTGATCATTACAAATTACTTTGTTATACTAGCTTTGAGTTAAGTTGTTTTTGCTTTTCTAGGTCCTTGAGATACATCTTTGGTTATTTATTTGAGTTCATTCCATATTTTCCTGTGGGGATTTACCTGTATAAACTACTCTAAGACCACTTTCGGGTTGGTCAAATAACTCAGTGGATTAAGGCACCTACAAGCAGGCGCAGGGGCTGGAGATTTGATCCCTGGGTCTGCTGTCCTAGCCCAGTCCCTGGGGCATGCTGAGACAGCCATTGAGACTAGGAATGGTGGCGCATGGCTATAATCCTAGCTCTTGGGAGGCTATAAACAGGAGGATCACTCTGAGTCTGATCTAGTAGTGAGTAAGACCCTTAACACCCTGTAGACCCTTCCCTAAAGTACAAAAAAAGAAAAAGAAAAAGAAAAAAAAGATCACTTTCATTGCCATAGGTTATGGAATTATCATTTGATTATAAGAATTATCTAATTTCTTCTTAATTTAATCTGTGATTCACTGATTATTCAAGATAGAATTGTTTAATTTTAATTTATTTGCATTGTATGGGTGAAATCTTTTCTTTTTGTTTCCTAGTTTCATTTCACTATGATCTGTCATATGCATGGGATAATTTCATTCAGTTTGCATTTATTTAAGCATGCCTTATTGGGCCATTATATGGCCTGTTTTGGATAAAAATCCAATACGTTGTGCTGCAGAGAAAAATGTATATTCTGTTGTTTTGGGGTGTGACTCTCTGTAGATATCTCTTAATTCCATTTGTTTGAAGGTTTATTTTAACTCTGATATGTCTTCATTGTTTCTTTTGGTTTAGTTGATCTGTGCATTTATGACAGTGGGACATCAAAGTACCCCATTATGATTAAATTGGTGTTTATCTGATTTTTGTGATCCATTAGTGTTTGTTTAATGAAGTTGTTTGTGCACATACTTGGTAGGTTTATGTTCATAATTGCTATCTCTTCTAAATTGCTTCCTTGATCTTCAGTGTATCTTCTGGATCCATCTTGGCTAGAAGTCTACTTTGAAATTATGAAAATTACTTCTATTTTGTTCTTGATTCTATTTGCATGGGAAACTATTTTCCACCCTTTAATTTTTAATCTATGGGTTTTTGAATTAAATCTGTTTCATATTTACCACATATTGTTGAGCCTTGTCTCTTGATCTATTTTACCATGCTGTCTTTTTGATATGGGGAATGAGATCATTCACGTTGAGAGCGATTACTGAGAGACACTTGCTTATTCCTTACTCTTTCCTGTTCCTGAGTTCCTCATTTCTTCCCTTTTGCTCAGCTGCTCATCCCTGTAGGTTTATTCATTGTTTCTGGCTTATATGCATTATCAGATCCTTTTTGGTTTCCGGGAATCTACTTTCATTTCTTTCTCCTTCTTCCCTAAGTTGTTATTTTCCAGTGTCTGGATTCCAAATGTTGGAAAGTCTGAACTGATTTTGCTTACTAGTAACTCTGTCATTTTCCCAGAAGTTTTTGTGTACATTTCTAAATTGTGTAACATCTCAGATTTTGAAACATATAAAAATATTCAAAAGGGATAATTTTTAGAATGTCAGACAAAGGGAAATATGCACACAGGAACACATACATTATGGACATGGATACAGATATAGACCAAAATCAGTGGAATAATTATGATTTGTTTGTTTATTTATTTATTTTTGCAGTACCAGGGATTGAACTCAGGGCCTTGCATTTGCTAGGCAAGCACTTATTCTACTGAGCTATCTCCCTGGCCCTGGATTTTCTTTATATGAGTCAAATATTAATACTAGGTGGACAGACACAAGTCACCTAAAAAGTATCTTCTGCAAACATTCAAAATCCATCCCAGTTTTTGAAGCATTCAGTACATTATTGTCAACTGTAACCACCCTACTGTGCAGTCTCACCTTGACTGTAAACCAGTATCCTGGGATAGGAAGAGCTTTATCAGTGGGACCTCGACATTACTGCTGTTACAAATGAACCAAGAAAACAGCTCTCAAAATGTATATAGCGCCACAGTATGTAAACAAAGGCAGATTTAACTTTTTGTATTTTTTGATCTTTCATTTTTAGATGTAATTTTCATTAAAGAAGGGTATAATATGCAACGAAGCAACTGGATCATTTTGAATTTCTGTATTTTTCTGCCGCTTATCATGCTTGCCATCATTGGAATCCTTAGGATAACTGAAATAAGAAACTCATGCATCGCGGAGAACCCAAAGTATGAGGGGTAAATATGGCTTGTGCGGTCTCATGAGTAGGCAGAATAGTGCTGTCCATGACCAGTGTCACAAATTCAGACTTGCGTTGTTTACCATGTCACTTTTGTACTGGGAGTATGCTTAATCTAACATAAATGAAATACAATTTGTTTTCTAGTAGCAAGTAAAAAATTCCACTGCCCATGAGCCTTTCCTCTTGAGTGCATCACACTGTGCGGGGACTTGGAAGTCAGAGAAGAGTAGATCTGATGTGTAAGTCTAAGGCTGCTTCTAGTTAGGTTTAAATGGAGTGGCAGAGTTGGGTTTCTTCAAGGAAAATGTTTTTCCAACTGTTATGTAAAATATTTTATTAATTATTTTAAATTATTATTTTTCTTATTCTCAAGTGTTACAAAAAAATAACTACAGAATCCATGAAGTATGTAGCTTCCTACAAGTTTGTGCTACTATTCTAACATTTATCCTTCTCCTCTTCTGATGACCAAACAATTTACTCAGTGAAGGTCAGAAACTCCTATATGTGTCCCCAAGGCGACATCACTGTCATAATGTGTCTCCTGAGTGATAAGTGAGTGTCATAGTCTGTATACTTCATAAAGATGTGGGTTTACTTAGATCTGCCTTCCAGAGGCTGGGAAGCCCTTGATTAAGAAGCTGGATCTTGTCAGACCCTTCTTACTGGTGGGGACCTCCAAGTGGCACAGGACAGAGCCAAACTGGCCTTGTCAGCCAACATACTCTCAAGATCAATCTGACTCAATCACCTCTTCGAGGCCCTGCCTGATTCCACCTCATTGTCCCTTCTTCAATGAATGCGTCTTTAGAAACAGCAGGTCTTGGACAGTACATTTAGCCTTGCATGTTTTTAATCCAACAGATACTCAGAGCCACTGAAAACTTATTTTAACTACAGAAAAACGAGAGTTTCAGTTCAGCAGTATGGTCAGCTCTAGCAGCATGACCTCCTTACTTAATTTTGTAAAGGGCTCTGATGATTCCAGCTTTGGACATGTTCAGCCCAGAGCTATTTGCCTCCCTATCTTCACTGGGCTCCTCTTGAGGTCAGTGGCCAAGGGATCCATCCGTGGTCTGATTTTTACCTATGAGCTAGACAGTTACTGAAGTCACACCCTGCAAGAGACCATAGAGTTCAGCTAATTCTAAAGTAGGACGATTTTTTGCATAAACCTGGAATCTGCTGGCCCTAGATCTTCTCCATTGCTTATTTGGCATTGGAATGGGGAAGTGAGCAGTGTTTGAACAGCAGTGCAGTGCTGAGAAGCCCAGAGTCAGAGATCAGGTGATTTACAAGTCTGACACATAATTGACAGAAGCAGTTTCTCCGTAGATGCCTGTGTCTTTTCTTGACTGACTCACGGGACAGGAGTGAGTCCCCTGGAAGGCTTCTTGCCTGGATGAGTCAGCCAACTACATGCTGTTATACCATGGAGCCCAGGTAGGGTGCATTCATAAGGTCCACTGATAAATTCAAGGACCTATGAAGATAAGCTTTCAGTGCCACCCCAAGTCATCTCTATTCAGATGAAGAAAATTGGAGACTGATTTTCTTGGCCCACAAAACAGTTTGCCATACAAATTATTAGTGGCTAAGAACCTGTTTCTCAAAGATGGTCAGCCATCAGGAGAGTGTAAAGATTAGCAAGCAGTGCCATTGGAGAGTGGCAGTGTTGACTATGTTGAGGTCCTATACTGGGAGAAAGCGTCTGTGGGGCAGGACACCAACCAGCCTGTGATGAAGGCCGGCAACAGGCTCAGCTGCCTATACAGCTTTGCTGCTACAAGGCTTCTAGAGACTTTGGGAAGAAATTTGTTGGAGTCCGTTTCTATTTTTTCAGGGTATCAGGATGAATGATACATTAGCTGATTTTTGTGATCATAGGGGAGTAGGAACAGTGTGTAGAGGAGCAGGAAAGGGCTGCTGGGGTTTTGAATATAGAGGAAAACCATCCAATTAGCCTCTTAATTGAGTTGCTTATGCTTCCTGAAATCTTCAAATAAACTAGCTTAGGTTATCAGATGACTCCCCAGTTGGCCAACCCAAATCTAGATCCTCCTGGGTAATTGAGTCCATTGGACATTTAAGGAGCAAAACATCCAAGGGGTGGATGTCCATCATTGTTATTTTTTTTGGAGTACAAGATGCTTATTATGAATTTAGAAAAGCTGTTTTCATTGCAACTAAAGTTGCGCGGACTGTGTTTTGGGTCACAAATTGTGATACCTTGGAGGGCTACTTCTCAAGCGTGCCACCATTTGGGCTGGTACACTGTCTTCCATGCATCAGTGCCTTGCGCAGTGTGAGCCAGTCTGAGGCACCAAGTGACTGATCCCTGATTAGGAGCACCTCACGGGTCAGCTAAGACTGAGCCCTGTGGCCCAGGAATGGTGTGTGCATATTAGAGAATCCTAGGAAGCTGTGCATCACCTTGCAATACACTAAAAGGGGTGGGTGGAAGATAGTAGCTGCCCTTTTATTTTTACCATCATATAAGCAACTGAAAACTTCTGACCCTAATTCTTGTTATGGCCACAAGATGTCCCTAAGAACTCAGTGCAATAAATGGTGCAGACACAGTCCCCTTGATGGACCTGAATTTAGAATTTTGCCAAAGGCTGCCCCAGGCAATTGTCTTGGCTCCCTCATCTATTTTTCATTCCCTTTTATAAATCTGCAAGCACAACTGGTATTTGAACTTTGCCCACAAATATTACATATATGGGGGAGGGAGGGAGGGAGGAAGGAGTAGAGGAATGGAGAAAGGAAGGAAAGAAAGAAAGGAAGGGTCTCAGTTCATTGTAATGCTTGTAGTCTCAGCACTTTGGGAGGCTGAGACCAAATGATTCAAGTGTGAGAAGAGCCAGGGTAATTTATTGCCTCAACAAAACTCTGCTTTTTATGTATTTGGTACAGGGTCTCACTATGCAGCTCAGACTACTAGTGATTCTCCTGTTTTCAGCCCCTCTAGCCCTGGAATTACAGCCATGCACCACCACTCCCTGGCCTCAGTGTCGGCTCAGCATGCCTAGTGGTGGCTTAGCACAGCATGTGTTGCTGGGGATCGAACCGTGGTTCCTGCACTTGCATAAGCAGGTGTTCAGTGCGCTGAGGTATCCCTCTGGCCCTGCCTCAGCAAAACTCTGGCTCAAAGTAAAGGCTAGGGATTTATCTCAGTGTGAAGGTCCTGAGTTCCTGCCCCAATACAAAATAAATATAATAATAATAATAATAATAATAATAATAATATTTCCAAATTGAGATTAGGTACATTATATTTTTAATTTTTTTTGAAAAACTACCATACAGTGTCTACCCTGGCTGTACCATTTTACATTTCCACCAACAATGCACCCAGTTTCTAATTTGCCAACATCCATTCAAGTTTGTTTTCCTTTTATTTTATTTTACTTACCTGTAATCATGAATTTGTTTATTTTCTATTTTTAAGAGATTAAAACATAGCTAAAGAGACATTAGAAACTACAAGGAATTTCACCAAACGAAATAATAGGAATTCAACAATGGTTGTTATAGTGCATATTGTTGTCTTCCAATGAGTTCTTTAGATTACCAGATATGAGCATGCTAAGTGTTCAAAAAATAAAAGAAGAGAAAAAAAATTAGGCATTTAACTCTTCCACTCAACAGAGCTGCAGAAGTTAACAGTACAATAGTCCAAGCTATCCTGTGTAGATACATATATATTTTCTCCTTTTTTTCTTTTTTCCTTTCCTTCATCCCAGTTGTTCCTTCCCTTTGTATCACTTTTTTCCCTTTCACAGTCTCTACTGGACCTTCTGGAGTTTACTTCCTCTTTCAGGTTCTTATATTGGGGAGATAATATGAGATTTAAAAACGTAGGACTCATTTATTTCACTTATGTGTATGGTCTCCAGGTAATAATAACTAACATTTTGGGTGTGAAGTAAGTAGCGTCTGCTGTGGTCTTGAGTTTTCATTTTCCTAGAGATTAGGGCAGAGAGTGCTTTGCATTTTTGAGCCCCAGGGAACACACAGTTGATGTTTAATGGATATGGGATTTCAGCATTCAAAACGAAAAGCTTTCAGGAAATGGATAGTGAAGACTGTTACTTGCTAAAAATATAAGCTGTAACTTAGAAATATTAGAATTAGAAATATTAAATTTATTTAAAAATAAATTATGAAAATATGAAAAAATAAAGCTAGCATGTTATCAACCTGAATATTAGGCAGAAAATGAAATTTTCTGTGTTAATTCCATTGTCTTTCCGTATTAGGGTATGAAACTCCACACTGATGGGGAAAATTTTATGACTAATCTTCCATTTAAACTGCCTACCATTGTTTTTTTTTTTTTTTTTTTTTTTTCCCTCTAAAAAACAGGAGTTCAAAATTGAAGTAATATATTTTTAGGATTATCTCATACTTTTAATTTTTGTCTGCCTAATACTTAAATCAATAGTAATGTAATGAAAACATATGCTTTAAGTCTAGCTTTTTATTTAGATTTCTTGGGCAGTTTTCTAAGAATGAAACCTGTGTCATAGAAGAACTGACTTTTTGACTTTTAAATGTTTGCTTTGATCTGAAGCTTAAGACATAAATCTCGAGGAGCTGCTACTGAACCTAACGCGAAGTTCTGCCCTCCTTCTTCGCAGTAATGCATCCATCGTTCCAGAAAGCTGCCATGAGGAGAGTTAAGGGGGCCGAGGTCGCCAGCAAATGGCCTAAAGAAGAAACTGTGCTTCACAGCCCTTACGTTCTCGCGCCCCAAATACATCTTATAAAATATAATTGTCTCTGCTGCTGGTCCTCTCCGGCCCCCTCCACCCCGTAAGGACTTGGGCGGGCTGGCGAGCGCGGGCGCTGCGGCTGGGGCTCCCACTACGCCACCCAGACGCGGCAGCCCCTCTGCGCCCAGCCGCGCCGCGGAACGGAGGCGCAAGCCCGCGGGCGGAGCGGGGCGGAGCTGCCGCCAGCTCGGGCGCAGGGAGGAAGGCGCGCCCGCGGGGCCTGCGCTGGAGCCCCCGGAGCCTCGGCGCGCCAGCTGCCCCTGGAGCGCGCTTGTCTACGTGGGATGGGGCTGGAAAGCGTGAGGGCAGAGGAGAGATCAGGGGACACGAAGGAGGCCCTAAATGTAGGAACCGAAACTATAAAGGTCTTGGGAAAAGTACGGGAAACTCTGCTTGACTTGTTTGGAAGTGAGTGATTCATAAATCGTTTCTCCCATTCTGTTTATTGGGTTTTTATTGCGTGAAAATGAAAAGTCTGTGTGACTTAAAAGACCCTACACAATAAAAACCCAATGAACAGAATGGGAGGCACGTTTTATGAATCTCCTCCTATATCAGATTGATACCCAGAATACACAAAGAACTCTCAGAGCTCAAATTCCTAAAACTTAATGGTCAAAAAAGTTTAATGGACCCAGAGCTTGAATAGACATTTTTCTTTTCCATCCATGCTTCTTAGTGACTGTTTACAGTATGGAAGGTTTACTTTCCTTTTTGGAAATGATAAAGGTACATAATACATCTTAATTTCTTTTTTTCATGAACTTTTCTCTTTCCCCCACCCTCCTTCTCTTGACATTTATTTAAAGGAGATGCATAAATAATGAACCCCAAAATACTCATTATTATAAATCGTGAGTAGAAAGCAAATCAGAACCATACGTGATACCCTTTATAATCATGAAAATGACTAATCTCAAAACAAAACAAAATAAAACAAACAAACAAAACCCTAGAAAATAAGTCCAACCAAGAAGATATGGAGAAATCAAACCGCAGGATCCTGTTGATGAGCGTGCAAACGGCACAGCCACTATGGAAAACAAAGCGGTGGTGCCTCAAAAATCAAAGATTGAATTACCATAAGGTTCCACTCTTCCACTGCAGAGTACATTACTATCAGCGTTAAAAGGAGAGCTTTAGGAGATGGATTTAGACCTGTATTCACAGCTACATCATTCTCATAGTGAAAGTAGAAGCAACTCAAAGGTTCATCAAGAGTAACTAAGTGGGTAAAATGTCGTGCAGGCATGCAAGCAGCATCATTCCACCTTCGAGAGAGAGGACTTTCTCACCCATGCTGCAACACGGATAAAACTTGATCCTATTTTTCTAAATGAAATAAGACAAGTACGGAATGAATTGGTTTATATGATACAACTGAAGTAGTAAATTCATAGAGACAGGTGGACAATAATAGGTCCTAGGAGTTAATGAAGAGAGTAATGGAGAGAGAACATTTGCTGGAAACAAAGTGAAGAGTTCTAAGGCTGGGTGATGGTGGGGGCTGCATGACAATATAATGCAGTGGATGCCATTAGCTTGTACAACTAAAAATGGTTAAGCTGAGAAACAATATTATGTATATTTTACCAGAAGGAAAATTCAAAATAGGTGTCATACATGGTGACTCACACCTGTATTTCCAGTACAGTATTTAGGAGGCAGAGGTAGAAGGATCACAACTTGGTCTTGAGATCCAGGATGGTTTGAGATATATGGTGATGGGGCAGGACAGCACAGCCCTGAGGAGGCACCCAGAGTCACCTGAGTACCAATTTCTGGGAGTGGAATGAGGGAAGGGCTTTATAATCACATGGACAGCAAAGGAGCTTGGGGGACCAAAAGCCAGCCCTAGCAGCAAAAACACAGAAGCAGCCTTCTGGGGACAAGGACACTGCTCTCCCCCTTCCCATCCTTGGTCCAAAGACACAACAGGCAAGAGGTCCTGGCTGGTGTTGGGACAAAGGCATCTCTGTCCCCTGTCCTGTGACCTGCGGTGCATCAGGCAAACAACCTGGACTGGACAAGAGCACCACCACCTTCCTGGTGACCAGCAGGCATGCAGCCTGGCTAGCTGCAGAGAAAGACGCTCTCTTTGCCCTACTTCCAAGTTTTGTAAAAGGAGTCAGTGGCATGGCCAAGATCAGCCCTGCACTCAGCAGTAATCCTACTACAGACTTGGTAGAATTATTCAGTCCGAATTTGAATTCTAACTTTGACTAGGGAACTAACCCTGAGTTCAGGGCACCAGAGGAATTGTTTTCTATTTTTTTAGGAGCTTGTATAGATTTTGGCTTTATTACTTGATTTATTTTCTCTGTCCTCTTTCTTTTTTTACTTGTCTTTCAGTATTATCTGACATTTACAGATGAATGAATACTGTCTAAAATTTTCTGTTTAGCCTTAAAATTCTTTTCCCTTTTCCTTATTTCTTTCTCTTTTGCACCTTCCCAAAATTTGAGTGATCACCTTAGTGCTACATTCTTGCTTCAACTATAGTTCTCTTCAGTTGTTAGTCTGTTTTTGTCCTATCCCTCTTAAATTCCCTTTCCATACAGGATAAAATCACCCAACCAAAGGGAAGCCCCCTGAATACAAATTCCTGATCCATGTTGGATGTAGTTACATGACAATAGATCTTGCTCCTATAGTTAGAGATACCAAATTAGCAGTCACCACAGATCATCAGTTTCTAGGCTATGCTTGATGATGTTGTCCTTACTGACAGTACTACTTTAACCAAGATGCCATACTTGTAATCAGCTCTTCACCCTTGCATGGTAACACTGTGATAATCTGGGGAAACAATGATTCCCATAGCCCAGATCCAAGGACTGGGTACTGAACCAAATAACTAGGAACATATCATCACCAACAAGTGGGAAGATAGCCTCCTGGGACAGACACAAAGACCAGCTACACCTAGAAGACATTTTGGAGGAATAGACATTTCCTTGAGAAGCTTTGGTGCTAGTGATAAAACTACCTAACAAGTAAAATAAAAATAACAACATATAAAACAAAATCTAAGAAAATAGAAAATGACAAGACACAGTAGTAAAATGTAATCCTATACTTCCATCCCACACAAGAAAAATCCAGGGGACAGCAAGGTAGAAGAAAACATAAACTACCTGCCTGAATTCACTGGAAAAGCAGTAGAAAAAAACCCAAAATGTTTATATGGCTATAGAGGATATCAAAGCAAAAATAATCTGACAGGTTAAACAAACAGATGATAACTATAATGAAGGGCTTGCTCAGCATATGTGGACTGAATATAGATTAAAAAAATAAAGAAACATAGAGAAATAATGGAAATCAGGAATGCCCAGCATAGGAAAAAATGGAATCCATGAAATAGATTCAAATAGATCCCTCCTGGCTTCTAGTTTCCCATATGCTTGATTATCCACTATCTGATGACATTATAAAGAGTGAAAATGGCATATTGAAGATTACTTCTAGAAATTGTTGATGCTTTGAGGTAGGGGCCAGTATTGCTGATTTTACTTCAATAATAAGAATATACATGTATATATTTAAAAGGTCAAAAACATGATGACTATGTCTATATTTATTCCTCATAAATCACATGAAAAAGCTGCATTTCATATTTCTGAATATCTATGAGGGGATAGGGGTATTTACATTTTCTGTGAAGTGTAGAATAAATTCTATTCATAGTGTTTAATTATGTTTGTAGCAGGTGAATAATCTCTAGCTGCCACTTCTAGAAGGTGGAACACAAAGAACAATATTATTCCTGAACTTAATACATAATGTAGCAAGAAGTGAGGATTTTTGGAAAGTGATTAAATCATGAGCACTTTCCCCTCATGAATGGGATTAATACTTTTACAAAAAAGGTTGAAGGAAAGACCCTAATTTCCTTTGCATGTTTGTCTTCTCCTGTGTGAGAATTTAACAGCAACTTATCATTTTAGAATCATATAAGAAGACTTCATCAGTCACCAATCTGTTACCACCTTGATCTTGGACTTCATAGAGCTATGAGAAGTCAGTTTCCATTGCTAACAAGGCATGCAGGTGTTTCATGAATAATTTCCTATAAAAGGAATGTTTGTCTATAATTTGAGAAAGCACTAACAGACCCAAGAATGACTTAGATACATCAAGTGTGGTGAAGAAAAGGGCCTAGTAGGGGTTTCTTATGGAGCAGTTGGTGGGTTATGGGCACCTGCACTGTCAAAGCCACCTTCCAAGCTCATACTTACATAGAACTCTACATTACCAACCAAAAAGTAAATTCAAGAACCATACGTTCATGTGTACTTCATTCCCATTCTCTTAGACATTCTGATGGCTTTAGCAAACAGTAATGAATGAATAACTTTGTGTCACCACTTCCTTCTGCCATACATTTCTAGAATGGGGTTGTTGCTGTGACTATACATGAATATGTGGTATAGAAGCCGTTAGAATTTGTTCACAGGAGAAGACTGAAAAGCTTTAAAAGTTTGACATAGACTGTGGTAATAAAGGCTTGATGGGTAGATCTGGTCAGAGCTCACAAGAATGATGATAAGAATATGGATAATTAATTCCAAGCTCAGAAAGGAGCTAGACTTTGAAGGAGAAAGAGAGTAAAGGCAACCAACTAACTTAGCAGAAGAAATTTCATGACCCCAGACATTCAGGTTGCAGTGTGAGGACTACTGGCTACTTTTAGCCAATTTTGTAGCCATTTAAATTTTGAAAGGTCTTCTTTTGTTTTTTGCTTATTTGTTTTGATTTTGCTTTTTTGTTTCATAGATGTTAAAGACTAGCTGGTAAACATTTAAGTTTTTACATGACCTTGAGCAATAAAAATGATGAAATTATTATAGTACAAGCGGAAGGTCAAGTTATCCCTATAAGTTAAGGTTAAGAGCCATTGACCTATTCACAACAAGGGATTCAGTCATGTCAATTAGAC